ATATTAAATGTTCTTTCTGCATATTCAGTATACAGGACTGTGACCATGAAATAAAAAAGGTGTAGTGTTTGATTACAATCAGTTAATTCATTTCAACATTTAAAACAGTTTATATCATGAAATATCAGTAAATGTGGCAATTAAGAATTTAAGAATTTTCTTCAAATGTTGAATATATTTATTATTATTTAATGAAATGAAAATGTATTCTCAAACATATTTACACAAATGACTTCAACCATTTTTGTTACTACAGTAATTAGCTAGCTAGTTATTTTTCATCTTCCTTTTTTAATGCTACTGTGAGTTGAATATAAATTTGATGTTGCCCACAAGATTCCTCCTCCTTCTTGAGTTTTCAGACACCACAGTGCTGCTGTGATGCTTATTACGAAGGCTCCATGGAGGGAGTCAAGAGGCTCCTCTGGCCGTTGTTCACAGCGCTGGAAATTACCGCTTGCCATAAGAGCGCTTGTTTCCGTGCTTCCCTGTGGGCTGGAACTTGTTGAATTCTCTATCAGATTGTGTGAATGTACTTAGGCAGATGTTGTTGAATTGAACTGCTTATAATTTGAATATCTGTGAGAAAGGAATGAAACATAAGCTAGGGGCAAAACAGCAAACTGCTGCTTTGTTAGCTCCCCAATCCTTGGTTGTCTGTCAGATTCGATATATTTACCACAGGCCTACAGTATGTACCAGCTGCTTCTCTGGTGAGCGTTCCTCAGGATTAGTTTCAGTTCCCTTTAAGCATAGGTCAAAGGTCAATGTCACTGTTAAACCAGTGCTTCAAAAAGTAAACTCAAACAACCTTGAGGTGCCATCTGTTTTATAAGTTGCAATGTATATTCTGGAATGGTTTAAATACTCAACTAATTAGTATTGTAGAGTGTAGAGGATGGAGGGAGGTTATCATAATAATAGGGAAAAAGCTAAATTACCAACATGACAACTTGTCCTTACTTAAGTTGCACTGCTGCCTCTCAGAGGATACCAGCGGTACACCTGTGGGACAAACACTATCCAACATCCATCTAAACATGTGGTGGCTTCATTGGTGAAGAACGGCAGCAGCTATAACTTACTGTTTCCTTTAAAGAGATGAGGTTTCGCTAATTTAATTCTGTGAAAGAGGGACTAACAGATGGAGAGAGGGAAGTAGAAATAGGGGAAGGGAGGAGGATCAGATAAGCAACAGAGGTGCACCCCTGTAGGGAGAAAGTTAGATCTCTACCATCCACCCAGCAAGCGGGGGGGGGGGGGGGGGGGGGGGGATACTCTCAGACAGCACGCTTGAGCAGGAGATAAGTAGCTCCCCTCCTGCTCTCATCCTGCTGGCTCCACTTTACTCTGCTCTTTGTGGATGCCAGATGCTACGAGCCCTCTCTGCATCTGCATCTTCCTCCTGCCCTGATAATGCCGAGAGGATTTCCAAGACCTGCAGCACCACAGCGAGTCTAGCAGCTGATTCACGCTGATTCCCTCTCACAGCAGGCGAGGCTGTCTCCACTGTGTGCATGTTACAGCAGAGCATAGTAAGTAGCAAACAGCGGGTTTGGGGAGTTTTCCTTTTCACCGCTGGGACTTTTTTTCTTTTTCTTTGGAAGAGTGGTGTAAATAGATACAGGAGTTGAGACTGTAAGTGGATGGTGTGATCCCTGTCTTTGACGTGTGTTGTGGTGCAGTTCGGAGCCTTAGTGTGTTTCTATTGGTGTGAGGAAGAGAGATAGAGGTTTTCAAACAACAGAGCTTTGCCCCTGGTGCCCCTGCTGCCAAGACTTAGCCAGAGAGAGAGAGAGAGAGAATTATGATTTGAGCTGCAATGCTACTGTTTCTACACATTTCTTGGCTAAACTCAACTCAGTTTATAGAAAATCCCTAATTAGCTGCTGGTCCGTGAGGATAAAGGTTGGTCACAAAACTCCTATTTTGAATTGACTTACTTCAGTTAGAGTTGAACTCGCTCTTGTTTACTTTGTGGTAACACCTCTACTGTACACATAAACACTGCTACATGGAGAAAGCCCCTCCTGAGCCTCTCTGCAAGTATAAATACCAATCATTCTTTCTCATCTTTATCTGGCATGATGGAAGCAGTAACTCTGCTTGACCTCATGGTTAGTGTTTTGGGCCCCTGTAACATGCTGGTGATGTGAAGCTGTGCCTTGTTTAGAGAATATTACAACATATAGAAAACTTCCCTGAACCTGTCAAACATAGAACTTTTCTCAGGATAAGTACTGTTCTCAAAATACAAAATATCTCTGCTGAGGGAAATATGTAGCTGATTCTTTCAACTTCTGGCCTGCTGAATTATTAATAATGATCAGCGTATGTTACCAATGTACACATATTTACAAAAGAAATGTGTGCCTCACTGCTTCATAGCTTGGTATTACTCTGTTTATGCTTACCCCATACAAAATAAAGATGAACTGAGTTGTTGGGATCTAAATCATCTTTTAAAAAGAAGCAGAGATTACTGTGAGGTAATTTGATTGACGTTGATTACTGTAATCACAATATATATGTAGAGCCCCTACACACAATCATATTTGGGACATTAGATTCAAGCAACTACAAAAAAGCTGTTACTCCGGTACTTAATCTAGAAGGCAGTGTGCTACAGCTTCTCTGCAGCAGGAGTTCATCTTCTCCTTTGGGACAATATTGTCACAAGCGTTGATGAAAGCTATAGTTTTCTGCAAAAACAAACAGACCCACTGTGCTGCAGTGTTTGAACACCAACTGGGGATGCTGCGAATTCTGTGACAAATAGTTCGGAAGTAATGCGGCTGAAACAAAAGCCTCAAAGAATGCAGATTCCTAATTAACAGGGGATGCTGGTGCAGAGCTCTACAGTGTGTCCCCAGTGCAGCGCAGCAAATTACAAGTTGTTACCAGGAACAAGCCTGGCCAAGCCTGTGTGTAGGGTGTGTGTGTGTGTGTGTGTGTGTGTGTGTGTGTGTGTGTGTGTGTGCATGTATTTGTGATCGAGAGCTGCTTCTTCATGAATGTATGATAGTTCATATTTGATGTTATGTTGCTTGTGTGTACAGAACCACTCAGCATCATTCCTGTTCCACCCTCTGAACTTTTCTGAAATGTCAACTCGTAAATCTTTCCACCCTCCCCAGTTTGTCTCCCCTCCCTTTGCTGCATGGTGATGCAGCGAGGCACCACTTTCTGTTTGTATCAACCTTCATAGTGCTGAAGTTTTGCTGCTGTCCTTCAGAGAATGAATCCCTTACTGCTGGATATATAGTAATCGATTTACCCGTGGCTCACTTTATGTTTGGATAGTGTGAACATGTTGAACTCTGCTATGTCTTTATCTATATCCATGTATATGTTTATGAAAAGCAGCACATGGATTTAGCCTCTGCACAGAAGCAGTATTTACTCTATATGCTTTTAGTGCACGCTTGTGCTCAGTATTTCTCGGCTTCTGTTGAAGAATATGTGTTGTGTTTTTTTCCTGCTGTAATAGATTGTGCATGATGGTGATGGGGGAAGCTAAAAAAAAGGGCGGGGGGAATAAAATACAACACTAACAATAATGCAATTCACTTTATTATCTCACATCGTCATTCTCCCCAGTTTTTCAGCCAGTTTGGATGGGACAAAGACATCAGCATATACATTTATATCTGTTGTCTTCATACTCAGACAGATGTCCCAACACTATCTACACCTGAATAGAGGACGTACACAGGTCTTTGCTGGTAGACTCTTCCATAATATTAGACTGTATATAGTCTAGGGCTTTAAGCAAATGTGATACACTTGGGTATCACGATGCTTTGTCTCATGATACTGTATCGATTTTTAAAAATACTATTGATTTTAAATGAATAGTAAACGTGTAAAGATTTGTGGCAGACTGTGGCTCATTTTGTGTTGTGTTTAAACCTCCGACTGCTAAATAACAGTGTTGTAATCTATCTTCAGCCATAGAGAATGAAGGCCTCTGTGATATGGTGAATACAATGGAGCCTTGTCCTTATTTATGACAGGTTTCCTTAACTTAGGTATTAAAAATTGTGTTGTATCGCCTCGCTTACAGTATTGCAATATATTGAATTGCAACCCCTGCATCATGATAAATACACAGCCCTAATAATGCCGCTACAGAACTCTTCTAAACGCCACATTTTACATGTGCATACAAAATAAAATTGAAAAAGATTATGATCTAACTAAGGCAGCTAAATAATCCTGGAGAGCCATACACTGTGAAGGCCTCTGCAGTTGTGGGGTTTTCTGTAAATAGTGAGAGAGACTCAATGGAACCAAATACAATGAATGTTTGGAGCTTAACCTGCCATGATATGGTTGGGCATCAGGTAAATACGTCAGTGATTAGAATCTCTTTCTTCGTGAAGCATAAGAAACATCATCCAAATACAGTATGAGAAAGAAGTAGATTCATTTCACTATGTGTCAATATATCAGACAGCATGTGTAAATACTCGATATTTTCCAGGATTTTGTTTCATTTTGTCTCAAAACTGTAAATTCAATTGTCCAAATCGTGTACTTGCCTAGTCACAAATAAATATTCGATGGACAACAACAAACAGAAAAGGCATCATATTTCAATCCTCTCAACACCAGCACCACTGACCACTTGACGGTTTCTTATTCTATTCTGTGACAGTAACATACGTCTAGTTAAAGCAATGAATGGCCCCATCCAACTGAAATCAATAAGGCATGGTGAGCTGGCTAAGGGAGAGTGCTGAGCCCTACACTTTGTGTTCCTGACCCGGCTGCAGTGCTACCAAAGATTGTTTTTTACAGTTGACTGAGGGGGTTCATTGAAAGCTAAACTTTTAGGTGTTTGTGTTATAACATCAACCAGCAGCCGAATAGAACTATAGAAACACAGGACGCGATCAGGCAGGAGTGTTAATACTGACTTGATGCTAATTTTAGTTTTTTGTTGTTTGTTGTTTTCCCTCCATCGCCCCTCTTTTCAATCTCTCTCTGTCCTGCAGCCACAACTTGAGGGCTACATCATTTCGACACCCGGTAACCAGACAGATATCCCCTGAAAACACAGAGTACACACTACAGGACAGGTGAGTGTGAATGATGCATGTACTGCATGCTTAAAATACAGATCGGTTAGCTCAAGGTTATGACGTGGGAATACGGAAATAGACTGGGAAATAGCCTGTCACCCTCCCCAATGTGGCATATCACGTGTGTGTGTGTGTGTGTGTGTGTGTTTTGGGGTCTATTATCTAAAGCAAAAACAGTTTCAGCTAAGTGTTCATCAGGAAAATGAGCTGCGGTCAAAGTCAGAACACTAAAGGATGGGCATTGTAATTATGTTCACCAAATTAAATGTGTTCATTATCATCATGGCGTTCATAACTGACTGCACTTACTTATCAGTGGCTTTAGATCCCAGAGACTATTAAATATTATTCTTCAAATGATTGCCTTTGCAGTTATTGGTAATGGAATGGCTGACACTCACATATGCTTTTGACCGTGTCAATATCACATCTGGATTGATCAATCTGTCTCATCAATCTCATCATCGGTTTTGTTTCGGGGCATTTTCCTCAGTGTAGTTGAGGTCATAAAAATGGAAGTCTGACTGTGCTTCTAACTTTGATTCTGGCATTGACAGAATGAGATTTTTCTGTGCCAAGTTATTTTTTAACAGTGAGACTTCTTTGAAATAAAGATTGTATATTTAATAACAACAAATCACAGAATTTCTGAGAATTTTGCATATATTTTTAGTTTATATTTCTTCGTTGTATTGCAACATTGCGGCAGTTGGATTTAGTGTCATTGTTTTATGTCATTGTAGGAATCTGTGTGAATGCTTTCAGCAGGTTTAGAGCAGAATATAGTAAGTGGGACTGGGCAATGTGGCCAAAATAAACAGATTTCCTGAGAAATTTGAGTTACTAAGCGCTTGGTATTGTCAAGTTAGGCAACGTTTTTGTGTATCACAATATCTGGATATATGATTTCATATGATGTGAATCTATTGAAAGACGATAAATGATCAAATCAAATTTTAGCCCAGCCCTAAATATATGCCAGCAGGTGTCTGATCATATTTAAGCTGGCTGGTGTAAGAGGATCATGCATCGCGCAGATTCCACATTAGGCAGAAGCAGGTTTAGAGACATGTGACCTCCACATTCCCACCAATTAAAAGATGCAGAACTGATTGTCATTCATTTCCTGAAACTCTCCATTATCCCTAGTTCAGTACTGTTGAGTCATGGATTTGTACACCATCAAGGGGTTTTAAAGTTACAGTTGCTTTATTTACATATTTTTAACAGAGATTAAATTATTATTTTTCTTAGGAATGCCTGTCGTAATATCTCTTCAAGCTACGGTAAGAATAGCTTCAGTTACATGCCCCTCTCACAAATGTATGGCAGGGATGCCTTGAAACAGGACAGGACGGGATAAGAAACCTAGTCTCTGCATATACAGTGAGCATAATACAATTAGTTTTATTGTTAAAGGAACACTCACAACGTATTTATACATACTGTCCTCACTGTCCGTATGAATTCTTGAAACCACGGCAATCGCCTCTGTGTTGGAAACTACTGTAGGAGAAGAGTTGTGCTTTCGGCAAACAGATTAAAGGAGTTCTTTAATGTGATGGATGACACATCGTATAGTTCTGGGCTGAGTATGTGTCCACCTTAACTGTTTCCTCTTACTTCCAGTCATTGTGCTATGCTAGGCCACATTAAACACCCCCCTTAAATGTAAAATAATTCTTATGGAACATCTTCTCTTTTTTAATTAGCATTAGCATTAACATTGTAAGTTATATAGAGTGTGAATTTGAATTAGCTACTTTTAACTCTACTCCGAACCACTCTGTATTGCAGTACACACACGCTGCTAACTGCTGTGTGCTACTTTTTCTTCTCAACCCAAGTCTATTTACTTTATTGCGGTATTTTCGTGCCTCTCCCTTGCTCTGTTCTTTTCATAACGCTGTTGTAGAGTTTAGTGGAGAGCGTGAAAGCTGGGGTGCAGTCTTGGTATTGAATGTGTGCGACACAAGCATGACCTCACTGGGGCAGCAAAGTGTTGCTTCTGTTCACTGTCACGGTGATGTTATGGGCTTCATTCTGCATACAATTACAGCTGAAAAGGAAGTTGGTTTCTTCCATGAATCATTGACTGCCTTCCCAGTGAGGAGAACCTCAGTGTGTTCCCTGGAGACCCGTATCGGATTGAGGACAGAGCAGCCAGCCGGCCTGGAGGCTTTGACTTTGTTATAGATTATCCCACTATGATCAATTCGTCAACTCTCCACATGTGCACCCACTGCCTTAAAGGATACAAAAAAATGCCCTCATTTCCATCATACAGTAGCAAGAGAAGCAGGGAGAGATGGAGTTTAGTGTCTTTTCCTCCTTTACACTACGTGATGTGAAATATCGCTCCTCTCCACCTCATGCCACGACAAATCTCCTGGGGAACTGTTCCAATGGCAGTGGTGGTAAACAGTATGAACGCTTCACATAAAACAGCAGAGTCCCCTTGATACAACAGAAACATCCTGTACAAATGCTGGCTGCAGTCCAGGCTGTGAGTGCAGATACTGTAAGTTTTGTTCCACTGTGGTCTCTTTCTTTTCCCATTTGTTCTACTCCTTGTTTTTTTTGCTTCTTTAGCCGGCAACACACATCTATAGCTTATCTTCTTTTCCTTAGCCTCAGTGTAGTGCAGCAACACACAGCAGGAAAAAACAACAGGGTTGGAACTGCTTTTAACCCCTTTTGCAGAAAAATGCAGAGACAGGTCACACTTTGTTTCCTATTGTAAGTTCACTGCTGCAGTCAGGAAGAGGCTCAGCCAGGGACTGGACAGTTGCATGTCAAATATAGTGATTGATTGGCTGCTGATGTGTTTTGAAAATGTTGCAGAAGTTTCCTTATCGTATCCCTTCTTAAGAAATTATATTTTGTATTTTCCAGGCCTGTGAGAGAAAATATGAACAAATTACTCTACAACAAACACTGGAAGTGAGTGTAACGTGGTTTAATCATTGGTGCCTGACCTGGTGGTTTTAGCAGCACAGAAGACTAGCCTTCACTTCCAGAGTTTGCTGATAATAGTACAACTGAACTTGCCATGATCTCAGGATTATTCCAGGGGCATGACAGTGACTAACTTTTAATCGAGTGGTCTGCACACTCTTCCCATATAAACTCAACAGAGCACCTTTAAAATGGGATGTAATAGAGGTCTGCAGGATTTGTAGATACAAAAAAATCCAAATGTTTCCAGGACCTTGTTAAATCTAATTGATCCTTGCTGTCTCTAGTGTTCCTGTTATCTATGATGCATCTCTTTTTTAGTATAAAGTATATTATGGTTGGTTGAGGATCAAACGACCATGTATAAATCTTTCTAATAATGTGGTCTGCAATACAAAATCTTTTATTTGACACGTGTCACTAAATCTAAATGGGCTGCGCTGTATTTCTTCCATGTGGATATTTCTGGGTCCATAGTAACATAATGATATCATGAGGAAATGGGAGGTGGGCTGTGGATTCCTTAGAATCTGTCCAAAGATACTATGTGTGTGTGTGTGTGTGTGTGTGTGTGTGTCATGTGTGCTTTAACGCAAGGCTAAATTTTGTTTTGTCTTGTTAGCCGGGTGTGTGTATGATATGTGTCAGACCAAGTGTCAATGGAGTGTTTGGCACACGAAACTTCCACTGTTAACACAGCCACCGCAGAGCCATTGGTTGGGCCAGGTCGCGTGGCGGTGTCAGGAAATAGTCATATCCTTTATATGTGAAAGCTCAGCACAGTGCTGCGCTCTGTTTCCCTGTGTGTCTGTAGTTTGTCTATGGAATTAAGAAGGAATATCACTATCCAATGCTCATCATCCCGTCTGTATTACTGATCTTCTTCTACGCTGCCTTTTCAACTGCAGGATAGAAGCCCGTATGTCCAAGTCAGCAGCCAATCAGAGATCCCCGAGCATGGTCACAGAGTCCTCTAAGGCTGTGACTTCAGCAGCAGTGGATGCTAACTCAGGGACAAAGGTGAGTTACAGTGTTTGTCTTCAGTGAGAGCCCATGTTGAGTATGTTTTACTTGTGTTAGTCAAACTTTATACATTTAACAACGATCTAACTAAAATATAATCACATTTTTTTTTTTTCAGGTTTTCTTTATTTTATATTTTTCTAACTGACCAAACATCTGTTTTTGTGGTAGCAAATTGCTTTAGGAGCTCTCTTGATGACCGTTAATGCTTATGTTGATAAACTGGTTTAAAGAACTCGAGAAGACATTATCTCATTCAGATTAACATGCTCAGAGAGCAATTATTTAGTCATTTTTCAAGCATGATAAAACTCAAATACACATCCTCTGGGACTGGACAGGGGTGTGGTGTACAAAGTGTACAGTCTTCGTGATAGACTTGCTGTTGTTTCCACAGTGATCATGGAAATTATCGCTGCGAACATGTTTTGTCACTGAACATGGGACACACCACAGAAGCACAGGATGTAAAAAAATCACAGAAATATATGAGCAACCATTCTGATGATTGATTAATCGTTAACATCGTTTTTTAAGTAAATAACATTTTCTGGTTCTCTTTGTCTAACCTTGTTACTTTTCTTTGTCTAATATGACAGTACACTAAACTCAACTGTTGATCAGACAAACCAGCAATATTGACGCTGTTACCGTGGGCTCTTGGAGCTAACTTTTTGACATTTTATTGACTCATTGAGAGAATGACCGACAGATTAACAGATAACGTAAAGAACATTGCTGTGATGATTGTTCTATGTGACAGAATCATCGTATCGTTTGATCCCTCTGGTGGTTTTCATTGTGTTTCATTAGAACGTATGAGGAATTGGGTATGCATATTTCTCCCCTCAACATTTGTGTCTTCTTTTAGCCAGCTGGTCAACCCGACACCCCAGGTATTTCTGTAGAAAAGCACCTGCTTAAAAGTACTATTTTATTTTTTTATTTTTTTACAGAGAACATGTAGTCTGAAATGACCTTGTCTAAAAATATGCCTGATTATAAATGGATGAACCCATCCACAGGAATAGCGAGTTGGTATTTCCTCTTTTCGATATGAGTGTTAGAAGAAGGAAGTTCCAGGAAAGTCATTTTTTCCTTCCTAGTAACTACATGTTGCACTGTGGAGTCATGGCGTACCCCAGTATGTGTCCGACCTTTTTTATGCCACGTCTCCCTTCAGAAGCCAAAACAAATTCATGACTCCCATTCCTTGTGTAAAAATGCTTTATTTTTTTTATTAATCAACAATATTGGGGAAAGTGGAATTTAATTGAACCCAAACTTAAATTTCAAACCACATTTTTAATCATCCACTCCCTCCATATTGAATCCACACCCTCCCAGGGTCGCGTCCCCCAAGTTTGAGAACCTCTGGTCTCCACAGTACAGACAGTACAGCTCTATTAATTACTGTATGTTACCTCAGGTAAGCAAAGTAAATTAGCTTAAAGTTCTTCAGCAACACATTATAAAGCCTTTTGGTCTTTCTTTGCTTTCTGCAGGGCTGCAGAGGTACAGGGAAAGTGCACAGTTTTGGCAAGAGGGATCATGCTATTAAAAGGAACCTGAATATCCCAGTGGTGGTAAGAGGCTGGCTCTATAAACAGGTGAGCTGGAGTTCCTTTGCTCTTATGCTCTGAAAGAAAAACCCCACCTTACACGTATAGGAGCAAATGTTGAAGAGTGTTTGTGTGAAAGCTGATGTTCTATGAACTGTAACATTTACTGAATGAATGCCCAGACTGCCCTTACAAAACCCTTTTAATCTGGACTTGAGTGTTTTATGAGAGCACATAATGTTGAGACGTACCGTATGAAACACAATAGCTCCCGACCAATCCCAGAGTAAGAGACCTACAGTACTGAGTTAAGTGTACAGGCTGCAGCTCTGTGCCATATGCTGCAAGTTAAGAATAAACTTTAATTAAACTATTGTTCAAATGGTATGCTTCTAACATGCACTGTATTCCCAAACTACAAGTTTTAATTAAAAACTTAATTAAAAGGTGTTCCTGCGGGAAGGATTTCTAAATACTCTGCGTGTTGTGTTTCCCCCTTCACCTCCAGGACAGCTCCGGAATGCGACTGTGGAAAAGGAAGTGGTTTGTTTTGTCAGACTACTGCTTGTTTTACTACAAAGGTGAGTCTATGAAAAGTGCACTAGGCCAGGGTTTAACAGACAAACATCTAAATGGTCATACAGTCTCATTTGAGGGAAGATTCATTTCTTGGTTAATGACAGCCTGTAATTAGATGTATAACATATCGTGCTCTCTCTTACTCCCACTTCTCCTTCCTTGTTAACTTGAGGGTTTTATTAGGGGGTGTAATCTGTGCTTGTGTTGCTAGAGCATCTACCTCCTCTCCTCAATTAATCATACTGAATAATGGATAAGCCACATGCCACCTCGTGCCACATGCAGCCACATGGCCTCGACCAGACAAGAGTCACCTATGACTTATGCCTCGATAATTTCCCCTCTGCTCATAAATCTGCAGTCACTTGTAAACATTGTACAAGGTATTGGCAGAATTAGAGATCTCTGTTTTTGGATGTTTTAATATTCTGTGTGTTGTGTTCTTGCTTCACAGACAGCAGAGAGGAGGCAGTGCTCGGTAGCATCCCTCTGCCCAGTTATGTCATTGCACCAGTTGAGCCCGATGACCACATAAACCGCAAATACGCTTTCAAGGTAACACTGAAGTGGCATTGAATCAGATTCATGTCTACGTGTAGCCAGCGAAACTTGTTCACTACTTGCAGTTTTTCTAAGGATATTCATTGCTACATCACTATTTGGTAGCAATCCTCACACACTGGTTCCCCCACTGTGGTCTCTGTAACACAGGAAGGATGGGATGGTACTCCTTGATCCTAATCTCTGTTTTGTTAAAGACAGTTTATGATTTACTTGGTCTAGGTATTGAACTACAGTACTTGATTACCGACCGCAATGTGTCACACAGTCAAGCATCAAAAGTTGGAATCAGGTCATAGTTTTCTTTAGTCATTGTTTGAGCAGATATTTATTTAGATATTTAAATGATAGCCTTTCTATTTATAGATCATTCTATTCATGCAAACATTTATGGCTGCTTGTAACAGTAAGAAACAGTAAGAAAACAGGTTAAAAGGTTTTGTAGCAAAACTAATTCGCAAAGTAAAGACGGGACAAACGTATGGTTTTGTTATCGTTACTGAAACAGGCTTTGTTTTGCATTTCTTCTCGGAAGATTTCAACTTGTAGATTTTGAGAAAGATTTAGCGTGCAGCTCAGCTTATGATATCTATGAAGACATGAAGTGCGGGTGTTTGGAGTGTGATGCAACTTCTGACCTTCTGGTCCCTGGTCTTTTTTTCAACACAAAACCAATGGTGGGTGTTACAATGGATGGCTGCCGTAAAGCACTTTATCTGTTCTGTTCACTGATTTTCTAAAGCTATCGTGGGAAGGGGCAGCCCTATACTGTGCTGGAGAGGCTGCAGCAGTGCAATCTTCAATATGGTTTGCACAGTACAAGAGCTCGGTTCACTGAAATCTGAATGGCCCCTCGCTCCTGTTGTTATACCGAGTGCAATATAGGCAGCCCGCATTTGGTAATTGTGTCATTTTTATTGAAAAATGTGCGACAAAACTTTTCCCTGCATGTTGCAAAGTCTTTTTCTCTTTTCTGTCTGTGAATTCTGCCAGAGGACAGCAAAGGGATTTATGTATTTTTGTTACACCGACAGCGTTAACATTATCCAGCTCCTCCTTTGTGGAAACACAGAGCTTGTTGCAAAGAACAATAGTGCTTAAATGTTTGATGCACCACTGCAGCTTCAGGGCATTCTGTTGCAATCCTTTCTGCTGCTTTGTACTTTGGCTTTTATTCTTGGATTGTGTGTGTGTGTGTGTGTGTGTGTGTGTGTGTGCGTGTCTAAGTGCATAGCTGTGTGTGAGTATGAATGTGTGTGCATGTGTGGTACGCGTCTCCTGTGTTTTAAATATCATATTACATACAATGGAATTTGTATGATAATTGTGCTGCTGGATCTATTAATTATGCATGAAGGCTATTCATCGTCTCCTCCCACCACTTGCTGGGGAGTATGTTGAAGGTTAGGTGAAATGAGCCTTGGCTCTGCTGTACCACCCTGTGTTTAAGAGATCTCTAATCCCCCCCAGCTCTCTCTGAGCCATCATGCATTAAAGAGCAGGAGATTTCATTACTTGTATCTGAGGGGCTTTAGAAATTTTCCATTACTGCTAAGTTAAGCATGACAGCACCTCAGTAGATGTCTGGTGGTGTTCAACAACGGGACGCTTCAGACTGTGGGAGCTACTGACAGACTGCAGTCTGTGCTGGCCTGAAATAATGAGACACAAATCATTCTGAAATCAATTTGACCAGCAGTTGAATATAAAATATAAGAAAGCAGGTTGTGTAAGTCAGTACAGTACTTCTCTGGAGTATTTTTTCCCTGAAGCAGTGATGCCACAATACTGTAAAAGGTCAAAACCCTTTCGATGTTGCTACTGTTACTCATTCTTGCTTCTGTGATGACTGCCACACGACCCAGCTGGAGCCATTTCTGCTCTTTCTTATTGAGTCAGCAACTTCCTGTTGTTTTCTGTTGTTCTCTTATTTTTGCTCATCTCACTGTGTTTCTCTCATTCCCTGTTGGTCAATTGCCTCCCATTGTGACTCGGGTGTGTGTGCGCGGGCGGAGTGAGTACTGTTCTCTGCGGGCGGTCGTCCTCAATCACACTGGCTTCCTGTCTTGCATGAATAGGTATTTGATTTCACTTTAGCCTCATCAGTGGAACGCCATCCTCAGCTCATTTTCTTTCATATCACACCAGCAGCTGCAAAGTTCATGTACACAGACATGACTACAGTCATCTATGGACAATGCCAGAGCACATAGGGGTGCCGCATTAGTTTTATGAAACAACTTTGAATATTATGGGGAATGAAATTGAAAATTTTTTTGTTTATTTAGTATATGTATGTGGACAGTGAGACATTTGTTTTTTGCATTGTACTCCAGCAAATGTGATTTGAAATGAAACAGAAAATTGCACATTCAGTGTCCTCTAATTTTATAATTCTTCGACAATGGCAAGGCTCCAGCATGTACACTTTTCACCTAAAATGGTTGTACACAAGTCAAAGAGAGCGAGTGAGCACTGCTACCTCAAAGTCACCATTTCATTATAAGCACTAACATTGCCCCGGTTACTCGTTTGATCAAATATCATGTGTCTACTGTATATTCCCAGTGACTCTGGTATTTGTCTTGTTAAGATGCATATCATTTATCACATCCTCATCGTCATTGGAGTGGTGGGATGACAGGCTGTCAGCATTTCCCCTTACTCCCCTCTGGTTTCATTGCATTTCTTTGGATTTGTTGCCATCAGCAATTTGCCCCCTGCTGTACCTACATTAATGTATAAAATATATATACATGTATATATAAATACAATATATAATTGTACATTGATACAATGTAAACTGTAAACTTGTTTTTCTACATCTGTTTTGAAGCAGGACCCTTTGGCTTCTCACATGTTGCCTAAAGGTTAAGGATTTTTAATAAGAATGATGCATTCACTTTACAGTCTTCAGGATTGTATCTTTGTAATTACCAGGACGCTTTTTCTGTCACTTTGAAAGTAGTTTTGCAGATATTGCTGCTTGTTTATTTCACATGTTACGGTATTGGACTCACTGAAGATCACAGTCTTCCCACGATGTACATAATGCAGATCAGCCTTGTGTTGTGCTCTAGTGGTATTGTTGGCAGCTATTCATGTATTTTGTTATGGTGAAGTTACAATTAATGAGAAAGAACTAGCATCTTACACAAACACATTGATTATGGAGGTATACAGTATAATCACACATTACTAACTACTCCTTTGCACTCTTTTACTCTATATTGAGTAGATCAGTACAACTTATATATACAGTTAGAAGTTAATCTGTATGATCTGTGAAGTAACAGAAGGACATTTGCATTTAGGGTTTAAAAAAATAGGAGAAAAATACTAACTAGCCATGAGACTGTGCAACAAGGGTCTGAATGATCCTGTTCTGTGGTTCAGCAGGTTGTCTGCATCAGAATTGGGTTCGGTGTAGTGTGTCCTAATAGCTTGATGGTACAGTATGGCGCCACATTTTCACCACCACATAGAAATTGCAAAAGGTAAGCTAATGTTCATGATGTGTGTTAATGTGTATCCTGCGTAAGAGATGATAGATGGCCACAACTGCCTGTCATTTGCTGCAGTTGCTGTCTAATTTCTGTGCGCTCAAGAGATTGTTGCTGAAGCTTTTTATAAAAACAGAAGCAAAAATGAACCTGAGTTATGCTTTTTTTCTTCAGAAACAGCACAATGTTTCTGCTGCAGCACTTTGATCCCTCCCTTTTTCAGTAAAATGTTGCAGTAAACTTTGTCCTCACTGAGATGACAGCTGCCAGTCTCAGTAAACAAGAAAGCAAAGTGTTTCACTCATCAGCCTCACTGGCAGCTTTTTCTTGTCTTCAGCATAAAGTTCTCATATCCATCCTCTCTCTCTCTCTCTCCCTCTTTGATAGGCGAGCCATACAGGAATGCGCTCCTACATTTACAATAAGAACTCTGTGATTGGCTCACAGGCAGAACACTGCGGGATGCGGACATATTTCTTCAGTGCGGACACACAGGAGGACATGAATGGCTGGATCCGGGCCATGAACCAGGCTGCGCTGATGCAGCAGAGTCACACTATAAAGAGGTTGGTCTCGCTCTACAGAGTAGGATTCATTACCCACATTGGCTGGGCTTCTACTAGTACCAACAACTCTCCGTCCCTTAAGTACAGCAGTGTCAGTGAACTAGGTATGTCTTGAGTGATATCATGAAGGAAATCTGGATGTCACAGTATTTAACCAAACAGTAATTTGTCTTGCTAGAACATTATGTGTTGAGGTTTTTATGCATCAGCTACAGTGTCTACTGCCTTAATATCTGTCATAGCTGAAATTTGCTTATTTTTGCTTGACTTCATGTCCATTATTTCAAAAGTATGAGCTGTCTTCCACAGCAGGTCCAGCCTTCTCCGTCTACTCTGGGTCTGCAGTTGTTGTGTGTGTGTGTGTGCTGCATCTGGGTCTGGTATAGATGAGGCTTAGTGCAGCCCATTTCTAGCTTTTTACAGCAGTAATCACATTATATAAAGCAGATTTGTGTGCTTTTCTTTGTTGTTGAAAATATTCACTTCCAGCAAATAGTCTGCAATACAGACTGATACTTTCACTACGTGATCTGCATTTAGACATCTTGGATTGGCTGGATGCACTGCTTGCTTTGAATGGTCTGTGCAATATCGCCATCTAGAGGCCAATGTAATCAGTACCCCAAGTCCCCAAGTTTTATATTTAGAGAGCGCTCAACGTTCACACATAACGGTCTTAGTGTGTTCCCTTGCAATGAAACATTAATTATATGAAATGGTTAGTAATAATAAACGAATGAAGTAATAATTAATGCAAACAGTATTTTTTTCTGTGTGAGGTGATCCCTTCACTCCATCTACCGTGAGAACATGTACTATAACCTGCTTGAATACACCTTTTACTGCTATTCATATTTAATCTCTTAGGAATTATTTCTGCTGAAATTAGCAACCCTTAAGTGAAAGCAGTTTGCAAAACAATCAATACCTGTTTGAAAATTAATTTTCGAAGTGATTAATCAATGTAAATGAGAAACCAAATGAATTACAAGTCCTTTTATTTGAACACATTAGAAAGAGTGACACACTAGCCCGAGCTATTTCATGAAGACAAAGTGTCCTGTGGATTCTCTCTGCACGCATTGACCAGGGAGAGCTCTGCTCACCTTCATTCCTATCTATTGAAAATGATTAACAAGTACGGATGAAAAGTTATTGAATAACTAGCTATGGTCTCTAATCCTTTCTGAGAGAAACTCTCTAATGAATCTGACCGTATGTTCAAGTGTCTCTGCAAATGGATTAAGAAATGACCTTTAGGGTCACATGTGTTTTTTATCCACTGCTTATTAATGTCATTTAAATCTCTGATTTCAATAATAGTGCTGCACTTTATCATAATATAGAGTGAAGAGGAGGAATTAGATGAAGGTTAAATAGCTGCAGGAGTGTAGGCAACACTAACTGTTCATCACCATCATGTCTCACTTTTTTAGAGAGGTGGAGAATCCAAAGAAGGCTGTGCAGCAGGCTGTCCCACAGACCAACCATGTCCACATCAACCAGAGCTCATCTCAATCAGAAAGCCTTCGCAGGACAGACATAGAGGAACCTCCGGATAATGGTATCCAACTGGCTCATAGAGACGAGGTGAGGTATGGATTAGAGATCCAAGGGAAACCCAGCCAGTCAGCAGCAGAGGAAAGAGGAGAGAGCCTCTCTCCAGACTCTGTTGATGTTGCCACCCACAAGAACGGACAGCAAACTGTAATCCAAGTGGCTCTGCCACCAGAACAAAATGGAAATCTCGTCTATCAGAGGGGCTTTGTTTCTCGCGTAGACACTGAGAAACATGTGCATGTGCAGAGGAAGAATACACTGGCACAGGTGGAGCACTGGGTCAAGGTTCAGAAAGGGGACCCACCAAAGAGGTCAGTTTGAATCTTTAACAGCAGCATGAACGATGATGATAAAGAACCTAGAGTAAATGGCTCCCTCTAGTGGCTAGTATGAGGACTATATTTGAATTGCTTGAATTGCCCTCTTTTTAAGTAGAGAAAGCATTCTCATTGTGGGCAGGTAATATGAAATCGTTTTTATAAAAGTAAAAGACATCCATGTGCTTTCTCTCTCAGTGCTCCCTCTGCTGAGTACAACATCCCTCGGCAGACTCCTCCATTAAAGCCCAAAGCCAGCTCAGCGGATGCCAGCTATCAGTCGTTGCCAAAGTCTCCCCATCTCCCGTCTGGCAGCGCATCTCCTCCAGCAACATGCAAGTTGCCTAGTGACTACAAGTATGCCCATGACCGGCTCAGCCACTTCCGCATGTCCACCGACGAGCGCATGGCCACCAAGGAGGGAATGGTGTGGCAGCTGTACGAGTGGCAGCAGCGGCAGCAGTTCCGTCATGGCAGCCCCACCGCTCCTATCTACACTGGCCCCAACTTCACAGACTCCTCATCTTTTAGAGTTACTGTGGAGATGCCACGATCCATGTCTGTCCCCCCGTCCCCATGTGAAGTCCCACCGTCAGTCCCCTCCTCCTTCAAACCCTTGTCCCCTCGCCGGCCACACACTCCTTCAGACAGACGCACAGTCAGGCCCCTGGATGAAGTGGCACCTGGAGACAGCACAAGATCCAGCTCCCCCGGCCATGTTTGTGCCCATCTTTCTCAGGTAGGACGCCTACTTAGAGAGGAGAGGCATCTCTGGCATTTTCATTACTCTAGGGCAAACTTCTTAGTTGCCTCTTAGAAATCTACAAATTACTTTTTTATTGTAATATAAGATATCAAATAAAATGTACTTTTCCCCAATCAAACTCTGAGATAGAGAGGATTACATTTAGTTCTTAATACTCTGATTTAAAGTGTTCACATACTGTGCAGCATAATGTCTTAAAAATACACAAATAAATGTTGCATTGATAGAACAATATTTATGAATAATGTTGTATTAATCCCTCTGGTGTTTTGTATTGTCTACTGTAGCCTAGGTTAGAAAACATTCAGCCCTTCTAGGAATAAGTTATCCATGTAGATCAATAAGTCAGCATTACTCTCAAAACATGCTAATATTTGTGTACTGATTAACTTGATCTTAAGCCATTTTTAAGAGAAAGATAGAGGGTAATGGTGGTCTTATTTTATATTGTTATCGATATCAACAAATACCATGAAAAGACCAAAACCAAACAAAGTATTGTCCATGTAGCCGCATGCTAATATAGCTCATGTCTCCATGCCATAGAACACAGGCCAAAAACACATAACCATGTCCTGGTTGCTCAGTATCTCAACAGAAAATTAAACAACAACCATTTTGATAATCGATTAAATGTCAGTTTTCAAGCAAAAGCATCAGTCAGGTTTAAGATTCTCCCTTAGTGAGGATTTGCTGCTTTTCCTTTTTTTATATCTCTATAAACTGACTATCGCAGAGTTTTGGACTGTTGGTCCAACAAAACAAACAACGTGAAGATGTCATGTTTGGCTCTGGGAAGTTGTGTTGGGAATTTTCAATTATTTCTGAAATTCTATAGATACAATTATTAATTGGTTAATTGACAATGAAATTCATTGGTAGTTGCAGCCCTCGCTGTAACACATCTCTTCAGTTTGTCTTGGATGACCTCACACTCCAAAGGGGAGAGGTGATTCACAAGGGGCACCAGTAGGTTTGTTCCCGATGTGGTATCACTCTGCTATCTAACACACTTGGTCAGAGTTGTTTACTTCATATCATTCAGTTAACAATAAAACACTTGTAAATATAATTTGACCGAAGTCCCACCCCGTAGAATGGTCGTTAGTCCAGGGTGGACCCTGTACAGGATAAACGACTTTGGGAAATGGATGGAAGTTCCACCCTTGTTGAATGTGCTGTAACACTGTAATAATGGCACACAGTGAATGTCAGTACTCTGTCATTGGTATGGGACTGAAGCAGAAGTTGATGATTCACATGTAGTGGGCCAAATGACAAAGGTCTCCTTCTCACGGTAGGTTTGAAAAGTGGATGTGAGGTATCGATTGAAGGATTTAAGCTCACAGAGACACCATGGGAAGATTAGCATGAGGAGCATGAGAAGGCTCCGACTTCTCAGCACACACACTTTGATGCTCATGTGAATCATTTGCAGATTCACACAGTCCACACCCAGGCCCACAGGTGGTGTGAGTGTGTGTGTGAGTAAAAGCTCGCCACTCTGCCGTTCCCCAAACCGTCGCAGCGCTCAGACAGCACCGCCACCGCCGCAGGAGACGGAGCGAGGGGCCGTCCTGTCATCCACACCCTGCGCTGTCTTCCCACCACACCCTCCACATGTGAAAAGATCTCCCTCCAAACCATCACCACATTTGCCAACACACACAGGCCTCACAACCAACCCGATGGCCTTACACACGTAAACAAAGTGTCACAGATGCTCTGTTTCCTCCATCATTCACATGAGTGTCAGGACACTAATTATAACCATGAAACACAGTGACGCGCAATTACGGAAAAAATCTTCAGAGAAAGATTCATTTTTAACAAAAGGAGCCACACGATCCAAGGGAGCGATGTGTATGGGAACTAAATTTAGTCTGCAATGAACTTAGTTTTGGTGCATCCAGCTTCTTTGAGGCTGATCGTGCTCTCTGGCTGGAGTGCGCTTAAGTAATAGCGATCTGTATACCTCTGTGGAATATCATTAAGAAGTATGTTTTATTAGTAGCTAATCCAATTTGCCCAGGGCTCCTCAGCATCCTATAAACATCTCTACTGTATCTCAAACATCAGCGGCGGTCTCTTTCTTCTGATCTCGCATTTAAATAAAAAACCTATTATACAGCAAAAAATTGTGGCATGGGAATCTCAAAGGGAACGGCTTACAGTGCTTCTCTTGCTGGTAGCAAACAAATGTTATTTTAAGGAAACAGGTTTCGTATAATTTATGTGTAGTTAATTAAATCTCTTGTTGTTTGTGTCCTTTTAAGGTTCTGTGGTGGGCCTGGTTTTCACTAATTCTGTGTGTTAAGCAAAAACGTCAAATTTCCCAAGCCCTGTAGCGTCTGAAACTCAGGGCGCACCTTGTTTAGAAGAAGAGTAAGGGTGATGAAAGGGAGAAAAGGATGGATGAAAAAATAAATCTGCTGTGTAGTCACATTTGTTTGCAGACTTGGAGGCAATGGTTTAACTTTGATTCAGTGTGATAAAGTGATTTATCTTTCAACACTCACATGCTGGAGATCACTTAGTGAATTAGACATTCTGTTTGATTTGACTCTATACGATCTGTAATAACAAGTTGCATGTTGTTTGTCCGCAGGCTTCCCAAATAGAGAGAAGGTCCATGCCAGCCATGGGCTACATCACACACACTGTCAGTGCACCCAGCTTACATGGCAAAACGGTATGATCCTCTTAATTACATTTGCCACATAACTGGGTTAATTATTGAAGATATCTGTCATTATGTGTCAACTTAGTCTTCCAGCCCGTTAGTCCAGAACAGCCAATCCAGGTATGAACAGGAATAACTCACTCCGACATTTGATTATTCGTAATTTCATCTCGGGGACAGTATCAAGATGTAAAATCTGGAGCTGACTGACTTTGTGAACAGCTGTAAAGCTGCTTTAAATGTTATGCCATACAATATTTTCTGATAACTCTTATCTTCAGACAATCCCTGATAGCACAATAAATCATTCTCCAAATCTCAGCTCCTGCAGCTCAGCCACTGTACTGCACAGATGGTTCTCATTTTCTCTCATCCCTCTGTGCTTTCACTGGCCTCCGGCCCTTAAACCCGGGCTTGACTACAGCCAGAGGAGTTGACTCTGCTCCTCATTCAGCTTCGAAGGCACCAGGCTAAGATGGCTGGTGTGCATAGCCCTAGCGATGCGTTCGCTCACCTGCAGCACCACCAGCACAACGGCCTTCTAGGCCCCAGCATGCAGGTCAGGGGCTATTGTACTTCCCTAACCTCCTCTACAACACACTGCAACCCCTGCCAGTGCATTGAGGTCCTACTCCCCCCCCCCCCCAGCCAATCCCATACATTATCTCCATGTCATTCTTAAGACTGTGCGGTCTGTTGGTGTTGCTTGGTTGTCTTGTTCATTCAACCACTTCGGCATGGGCTGTGTTGCACCTCGGACTGTCCAGATTGCCTCTTAACTCTACATTAGCGTCTTTATAGTTGTTGTCACTCTTCCACCTTGTTCAAAACTTTTAAAAGCTTTTAGAGGCTTGTGTTATACTATTTGTAAAAATAAATAAGCCTTATTTGAAGCATGTTGCTTGTCAACTGTGCCTGCATTTCATACTTTCCTTTGTATGACAGATGTATAAGTTTGCGCAGCCACAACATTTGTAGCTACGTTTCTTCTGTGCTCTGATAAATCTTTTGCCCTTGGTGTTGTCATTCTGAAGCAGCCATCAGTCCCCAGTCTCCCTTATGAGCCTGTTGACAAACAGTGCATTGCGGTGAGACTAGCAGACCACAGGGAAGCTGCAACGGCGCTCAGTAATGACAACTCCACCCAGTTTCTAACATCCAACCATTCTCTGACCATCCTCCATGTGTACGAAGAAATGTAAACACTCGGTTTTACTACATGTCATGCTCAAGACCTGTGTTGCTCAGTTGTGTATGAGGTCAAACATGAGGCATTAAACCGGTCCACAAATTACACCATTACTTAATTACAGTTTGGCTTTGCTAACTATACATGAAAATATAGAGGTAGGAAAGTAAATTATAATTCATGCCGAGTAAATTAATGTTCTGTTAGCAAAGCCTGAACAGCAAATGAAGGCCTTAGGAGTCATCTGGTCACCCATTCTCCTCTGTAGTTTCATTTCAAATGATTTATCTCTCCACTGCTCATTTAAAGGCTGATGATACTTACATACAACTGAAGAAGGACCTGGAGTATCTAGATCTGAAGGTGGGCCCCAACAAAGTAAATGCCACTTTATCCTTTTCATCCTCTTCTCCATCTCCCTTCTTTGCAATCTTGTTCTCCTGCTGCTGCCTCTAACATCTGCCTCCCTGTTCCCCCTTTTTTCTGTCTTTCCTCTGTTCTAAGCTGAGCTTTCTCCTGTCTCCTTATGATAACATGTATATTCGTTGTCTTCTTATTATGTAAATTATCCATTCAAGGATGAAAAGATATTTTGGTAACAAACACTGACACCACACTGCTGGGGGCCCAGGCCGTATTGCTGGGCCTGTGGAGGGAAGAGAGGCACGGGAGAACCAGCACTGAGCGGAGCAGACGGTCAGACCCTGCTGCACTAAAAGAAAATTCTGGAAGCTCAGAAACACTACCACTTTCGTCCACAGGGAGTGCCAAAATGATCACAAAATGAAAGTTCCTTGTAGTAACTTTAAATTGTCCGTAAGTTCAGTTTGTCACAACGAATGATAGTACAATACTTTCAGGTGCAGCGGGGTGATGTAGTTATCTCATCCAAAAACATGTCGATGTTAAGCTTATCATAATGGGGATTGAGGTTTTTAAGCACATGGCTGAATTTCTAAAATGTTCGAATCATGTGAAATCCAATTCCTGTGTCAGGGTTACAAATTGTCTAATTGCAAAGGCCTACTATTACTGTTGTATTTAAGCAATCTCTCTCATTTAGATAGCTATTGGCATACATTCCATTTACACCTGTGCAAAGCTTCGATACTATTAATTTGTATGTTTAAACACCACAGTGCATTAATGACAAATCTGGGTTGTGTTTTGGAAAGGAGGGAGGTCATCTAATGATGTACAGTACGTCCTGTGACTCCTCTCCATTTCCTGTTTCAAAACAGATCCAAAGTATTGACCCGATGATCGTATCAGTACACAATGTGTTTGAAAACTCCACTCCACAGAGTTTTGGGTACTGTTGGAATGTAAGGACGGTGTGCATACAAAGTGAAACGGACCATTCCACTGCTTTTCAGAAGGAATGCGATTCATCCCTTGAAGTTATGCAGGATTATGGACATGGATTCCTATCCAATCATTCACTGTGTGATACTCCAACACTGCTTTGAGATTTGAGAGGAATGCGAAGGAAGTTGTTATGTCAAATGGCTTCCTTGCATGCACTTAAGCATTTGTGAATGTGTTGGATGTCTGTTTGACATCTTCAGTTTGCTATTGTTTTGCTTGTTGGAGTATAAGAGATGACCCAATGGTGCTCCGTAACAAATACACTGACAATGTGACAACTTATATTTTAGGGCCTCTAGTTTCATTGTGGTAACTGGCAGAAACAGACAACAACATGCAGCGGTGTGTGTGTTCACCATGGACTTGAGAGAGTACTACAGAAACGTAGTATTGCATTAACACACAACTTGGCGAACTTGCAGAAGACAGATTTCAGAAAAGTGGTCAAAATTGAACAGTTTTGAAAGTTGACCTAGTTTGACCTATCCTTTAAACTTAATGTGTGAGAATGAGAATGTAACGCAGGTTTCTCTTGCAGTCTCTAAGCCCAAGCTAAGATATCCTGGTCATCACTTTTCCCATCTGCCTTAAAAACCACAGAAGACATTATAAAACTGTTCTCACGGGCAATGAAGTACTCCGTGTGACTTCTCTGACGTGTAAAATAGGTGCAATGCCCCTTAAACTGAGACTCCCATTCGCACTGGTCCATACCGCTGTGCTGGGTGTGGTGATCCTGATGTGGGTGTGTTATGAATATTCCACCCACACATTTCAGCTTCATGCATTACTAATTGAGACAGATAACTGGAAGACAAATCTCTGCCCCGTTATCTGGAGAATCTCTGGATAGGACTCACAGACTGACAGTCCTTATATTATTCAACTGATGTCAAATAAGAAATATTATAAAGTCACTTTTAACTATAATAGAACTGACAACAGAAAGTGGTCCTGTAAGATTATTTTATAATAGTTATGTTATACATTACCTAAAATAAGAATTTAAAGTTTAAAGTATTTCAAAATCACTGTAAAGTCTCTAAACCCGTCCAGATATGGCCATATAGGGAGACAACAGGAATGTACAGGTCTTGAAATGATAAAGTAAGTCAACAAGTGCTCTATTCTCTTTATGGTTCAGTACTATTCAGTACTTTTTATGCTTATGGCAATGGAATTGGATAACTAAGAAGAAACGTACCGGTAATACTAATTTAGCATCATAAGAGACACATTTCCTTATTTCAGTCACACTAGTGGCATGGCTCTAAGCATACCATTGTCAGTCTTTTGGTTGGTCCACCACCTGCACAGCTGTAGACTCTTGTTAAGATGACGGGGATTCTCTCCAAGCTGCAGGCAGTTATGATTTGTTTGCCTGGAAGGAGATGGATCTCACTGGTGAACTGAAATTTACAGATTTTAGACAAAGTTATGTTAAACTGTGATGAGGTCCATGATATCCATAATGCCATGGCTGGTGCAGGAACACGCACGCAGCTGATTGTTTTTTATTATTCACACCTTTTCAGTGTCTTACAGGCTGCTTTGCCCACACTGTGACTGATCTCTGCGCTAGCATCTACATACTGCCTTACCACAGTGTTATGAAACTAGGGGCCCCACAGTTTGACACTTACCCAGGTGACACATAGCTTTTTGAAGTAGAAATAATGAAATACAATTTTACTTCAACCATAAATCTTTCCAATGTAAACCAATGTTTTTCTGAATCAAAGAATGATCATATATAAAGGACCTGGTTAAACTCAACAAAAAAGAGCAGCTTTGGGGTTTCTTGGGTTTCTCCGAACACTAAGATGCAGAAACTCTCTCTGCATAAATGTTTTTGCACTGCTGCACTAAGTTTTGTTGTACCAGCTCATGCTTTTTTTTTTTTTCATCGTTTTATCCACTTTAGATACATCCAGCGTGATTTTTCTGTTGTTATCTGTTCACTGGAAGTATTAAAGTAAAGGCATTCAAATGTGCTATTCGATAACCGATATTGAACATTTCATTGTATTTGTGGCAATGTGACATTTCAGGTTACTGGACGCGAGAGCTTGAAAACAGAAAGACCATCAAGGCCTGTGAAAATAGCAGAAAGTGATGCTGATGTAAGTGAATCATTACGTTCTCAGGATTTAAAGAAACCGTATGATAAGCACCCTGTTTATCCGTCTCTTCCTTTTCCTTAAGATCTCCATTTCTGACTTCTTACAATCCACTACAGAGAAGCAGCTGACTTTAGTCTGACTTCACTGTGTGTTTTAGTGTGGTTTGTGTATGTGTGTGTTCTTAAGTTGTGGTAAACAGAGGCTGCGGAGGGAACGTATGTACATTGCAACACTGGGGACACCCATCCACACTGCACAGTGAGGGCCTGAGAGTATCGACCACAGCTTTTATTTTCCTCCTCGCAATTTAAAGGGAAAAATACATGTAATGGGAGTTTTAGATGTTGAGCTGTTAAATTTTTCAGTTTGATTTGCCTGACCCTGCTTTTCTCATTCTTTGTTTTCTGCTGAATAGAGGTAAATAAGATGGATGTCCTGGCTTTTCATCATTAGCATTGTTCCACTTTAACAATTTATAAGAAATTGCCAGTAAATTGTCTGAACAATGAATATTTCATGCAATTAAAAACAACAATATAAGCGGCAAAATAAAAACAGCTTAATTATTAATTGAACAGAATGATAAATAGATCTGAGAAAAAAAATTCACTATGTGAGAAAGACTGTGAACTAGGCAGTCTTATGTTGTTTTCATAAACACATAACCCATTTCTGTGAAAACAAATCTGTCACTCTCAATAAACACGGTTTTCTCCAAAAGTGAATTTGAATTATGGATTTTTGATTATGATTACTTATAATGGGTAATACCAGATCTCACCCCCAAACTAGACAGTATAGAGCCTTTTGATATTCCTCACTGCGCTGATGAGAGGAATTCCTCGGGGCTTTTCACATAGATGAGCCTTATTGACATATTTACAGACAGCAAAGACGGCAGCAGTCGATCAATTTGTCTTATCTGTCTGTGCTGTTAGAATATAGTTGAAGAAGACTAGAATGGAGCGGCTGACCTCTGTTGTAAACGGATACTGTATCTCATCAGCCCAGTCGCTGTTTCATCCCTCTCCTGTTTTCATGTCCCGTTATAGCTGTGCTCTATACGTGCTGCTATTAGAGGTAAACAGAGACTAATACGAAAGAGAGGTAAATGTGATTTTATCCTTTTGTTTTCCTGCATTCTTATTTTTTCAGTATGTTTTTCCTTCAGGTGAAATTAAGTCGATTGTGTGAACAAGACAAGATTCTACAGGAGCTAGAGGCCGGGATACGCTCTTTGAAGGAGGACAAGGTTTTTGTTTTTATGCATAATATAGAGTTGGGGTTCTTTATCTTTTGTATGTGCAGTAGTTAAATGTGTGTGTCAGCCTGTATTGGTGTGGTCTATAAATGCTTCTTGTGTTATGACGGCGTCTCTCGTGTCCTTATCTAGGACAAGCTGGAGTCGGTGCTGGATTTTTCCCACCAGCAGATGGAGCAGTACAGAGATCAGCCGGCCCATGCTGAGAAGATTGCCTATCAGCAGAAATTACTACAAGAGGATGTGGTGTACATCAGGGCTGAGATATCTCAAGTCTCCACAGTAAGAGACAAGCTGCACTCACAAGTTCATTGTGCTTATAATGGAATATGCAGTTAAAATAGATAAAATATACAATTTAATTTAGGTTTGTGATGTGAGATACTCTAGACTGGGTCCACTACTACATACAAGAACATGCTACCACTTGTATGTTTTTATTGGCCGGAAACAAGACGCTCACCTCTATTTTTAGTTGTTCCCTTTTGAAGGTTTCTGCAACTGGCACAGTGTTTCAGGTTGACTCTGACTATCAAAATGAGTGCTCGGGGACAAACCTGAGGCTACAAAGAAACTCAAGAGTACATTTCTCCGTCGCTCTGAAAAATGCTTCAGTCAAAAAAATCAGTGATAAAATTAGAAAAAAGACGAGTTTCAAAAGAACATTTACAAATAAACCGCAAGGTTACGCAAGAGTTAACAAGACTCTTTTGGGCTCTCAGTGTCAAAGACATTTTCGACCACATTGGTTGTGTTCAAACATTTTTGATGCTCTCATTGGATGCTGTAAGTATAATATAAGAATGACTGAACATTGGAAACAACGGAACAGATCAAAGTGGTTCAGATGTTTAAAAAAAAACATTCAAGTGAGAAATCATGATTTAAATAAAAATAACTCCCATATGCATCTCACCATATAAGTGTAAAGTGTCACTATACAGTTCTGTAAACAGGTTGGACCCTTAAACCATTGTAGAAGCATTGGCTCACGAGATGTGATACAGTATCTTAAAGCTGTGTCTGTTCTCATTAGAACATGGGGCGTGTTCTGTTTTTGTTTTGCAGGAGATGGAGAACGCGTGGAATGAGTACAGCCGACTGGAGAGAGATGTGGACTGGCTGAAGTCGGCCCTGCAGGGACAGATGAACCGCAGCGATCTCTCTCAGGTCTGGTGCTCAGTGCTCTCTGTGAACACACACAAGCAGTCATTCACTGTCACAGACGGGTGTGTGCAGGAATGAGTTACTGACTACTGATTTCATATGCACAGACACAGCCAAGAATTATGTATGGTTGATATCAGCTTCAAATTTAGAAATTGGCGAATTACATGACTTCTCATCAGTAATACATTGCCTGTGTTCACAAGAAATGTTTCAGTGTGTTAAAGAATGTGTGTCTATTTAGACTTGTGTGATTCTGTGTTCCTCTGTGAGCAGAAAGATAAAGTCCAGATCAGAAAAGAGTTGTGGAGGATTGAGGATGTTATTGCAGGCCTCAGCACCAGTAAAGCCAACTACAAAGTCACTATCTCCTCTGTTACCAACCCAGGTGAGACACCTGGAGCTTTCATGTCTACAAAGCAAAAGATATATGCTGTCTGTGCAATGCAGTACAAGCCACGTGGTCATGCTACTGTATCTCACCATTAAAGCTCTTAATCATACTGTATACTCAATACTAATGCCTTGACCATTTCCCAGGGGAAAAAGAAAGCACTGTCTTTACAGCGTGTGTGTATTCATGTTACATGTTCATGTTCGTCAAATTCCCCAGAGAGGAAATTTGTGCCTTCAGTGTCGGCGTCATCAGTGCCTTCTGTGTCTGGGAGCCCGTCTGCTATGGAGATGAGATTGTCCCAGCAGCAGCAGCAGCAGCACAGCCCCCACCTCAGCCCCAGTAGCCACACCCCCACCCTTTCCTCCAGCCCCAGCCAACAGCCCCTACATCACTGGGTGGATACAACCATCACCAGTGGGCTTAAATGGGTGAGTGACTCCTGCGACAGAAGGTAGCTGGTTCTTACATAAACATCTTTGTATGAAAAGCAAAGCTGCATTTAGTCTTTGTACCATGCAGACTAAACTTGTCACACTTTTTATATTCCATCTCTAACTGATCCTTTGCTAAAACCTGTCCCCCGCTGCTACTCCGTCAAGCTGTCAGAGCTACCATTGAGCCCACACTGTCACCAAATATTATCACATTTTTTGAAAAAAAACAAAAAAGGTGTTTTCAAAAGAAGCAGACAGAAGCGTATATCGCCTTCCAACCTCTCCGGGTAACGAGTATCACTACTACACAACGTCTAACCATGACTAGCTCAAAATCCCCCAAAACATTCTGAAAATAAAGAAGATCTGAAACCATTGCATAAGAGTCTATGGAGCAGAGCCGGATAGCTGTCGGACCCTGGTCAGAGCGGGCCGATGCTGATGCCATGATTGGCCAGTCTAGGTGCTTGTGTGTCATGTTAAGTATTTATCAATAGTTAACAGTTGTTTTGTGTGCAGGGTGAGGAGGATGTGCCTCCCAGACCTCCTCTACCTCAGCTCTACAGTCCTGATGAGGATCCCCCAGATGTGCCCCCGCTGCCCCGGGAGACAACGGTCATCAGACACACTTCTGTACGTGGCCTCAAACGACAGTCAGATGAACGCAAAAGGGACAGAGAGATTGGCCAGTACACCAATGGAGATAGTAAGGTACATACAATATGAGTGTGTTTGTGCTGCTTAAATGTTTACGTTTCAGTTTCTCATCTGTTTCGAATCTCTGTCTTTGAATCTCAGGTGGAGCTTAGGCCTTTCCTGAGTGACCCAGAGCTTATGGGAGCTGGGGATGGCTCCAGCCACATCAGTGTAGTAGCATCTGGACATGAGGGTTACCAGACATTACCTAGCAGAGGTACAGTAGAACAGATTTATTTAGCTGTAGCGTATTTATTGGGTTAATAAATTTACCCTAGCTTTTGGCTTTATTGCCAAGTCGAGAACAGTGTTTTCACGTTTGTTGGCTTTCCCTCAGGAGTGGCTGGCTCCTCGCTTAGGCTGAATCAGTCCTCGAGCATCTCCTCGTATGTGACCCTCCGAAGAGCAGCCTCAGCTGTCGGCATGAAGGTGAGACTCAGAATTAACTTCGTCGAATTTAATAATAAATGAATAATAATATATTGGTTGATCATCTCCTCCAGCTTGTTTTGGTGGGCTTCTGCCTTCATGTCCTGGCCTTTAGGGGTCTCTCCTATGTCAATCGTGAGCATGACGATCTTGGGTGTCATGGTTGACGTCTTGTTGCTGAAGCAGAACTTGTAGGTTCTGTCCATGTGTGCTGCCACAGAGTATCTCCCAATACAGAAAAAAAACTATTTTTTGAAAGAAAAGTAATAATATATTTGTAAATAGTGGTGCATTGTAGCAAACGGAGATACTCTTGTTTGCTGGATTGTAGCATTTGAGTTAATTGTGTTTTTTAAACCCAAGATGATTCAATTTAGCAGCATTTAAAAGATTGTATGTAGAATTTGTAAAAGATCGAATAAAAAAATAAATCATTCAAAAAATATTGTGATCATTTTTACATTATCTTCAGATTCTGATCTCGATAGTCATATTTTCCAGTATTTAAAAATCAAATGGTAAAATTCCCCATGAATAAGCAATATTCTGGAGATGAGAAAATAAGCACTGGGTCTGGACATTTTTCATTGTGTACACTGCGTATCTGATTCTCTGTATGAAAACTGAATAGTCTACCGTGTTCCTTTCTCATTCCTTATCAACATGAGCTTTTACCTTCATGTTAGGTTTGTTTTTATTTTCTTTCACTTCTTTGCCTTCTGCTGCACCTTTTGCTCATGTTATCAACTCTCTTTGCTCCTCTCAGGAGAGACCAAAAAGTGCCTTGGAGCGTCTGTACTCTGGGGACCCGGTGCAGCAGCAGAGGGGGAAGATGAGTGCTGATGAGCAGCTGGAGAGGATGAAGAGGCACCAGAAGGCCCTCGTCCGCCAGCGCAAACGCACACTGAGCCATGGAGACCGCCACGCCTCTTCATCGCCGCGCACCTCTTCCTCGCGCCCACTTTCAGCAGACTTGGGATCAGTATGTTACTAGAGCAGTATCACATGTCACTCTCTCATGCATGACGACAACCAAACCGAGAGTGGCGATCTACAGTAGTAATGAGTGCCTTTACTTAATGTAGTCTGTTTGTTCTTAGTTCCTGACATCACAAAGTTGATAGCAATACATTCAAATAGAGTTGTGTAGCAATTCACTGTGTGGCTCTAACTGTGCTCAATTCATGCATGTTGTTCTCAAACTTTAATACGCCTTTTTCACAGCAGACATTTTGACTTTTCATAGTAGGAAAAGCACAGTTACTAATAACATTAACAATGGCTCTGTTTGGTTCAAGTGTCCCAGTAAGCCATAAGAGTGGGGCAGTGAGCCAACATGCAGGATGCTGAGACCCTGATGCTGCTGAATGGATTGCGGCAAACATTATTTTAATTATTTACATCTGTGCTTTTCCTACATGTCAAAATGTCTTCTATGAAAAAGGCCTATACAGATCAGTGGATAACAGTTTCTGCTTTACACTTAAAGGGACAGTTCACCCCAAAATCAATACCGTTTTTTTCTCTTTGCACCTGTTGTGCTATTTATCGATATAGATCATTTTGGTTTGAGTTGCCTAGCTTTGGAGCTATCGGGTGCACAGATAATCTAATAGTGTAGCAGAAGGCAGACATCTCTACGGGCGATATCTCCAAAACTAGGCAACTCACACCAAAACTAGATTGATAAATAGCACTACAAGTTAGAGGAAGAATATGTATTTTAGATTTTTGGGGGGAACTGTCCCTTTAACAACTGACTGTAGCTCAAGAAATGTGTAACCGTGTTTATTATGAAGTGTAAATAACTTAATTTAACAATGAATAGGAAAAACTATTATTCCTCAAAAGCTTCACAAATAATATATCTTGCCTATCAAACACATAACGCACTAATTACCACAGACATGGGCCTTCAATGCCATCAACCGCTCACATTCATGGCTATTTTTCCATAACTACTTGTTATAGACCCTAACATTGTTTTATCCATCCAGTTTCACCTCTCCTCACTGATCTTTCAATTTCTTGACTATGGTTGCTTTCACTCTGACTCTGGTTATTCGGAAAGCACAAACTGCTGCTAGATTCCTCTCTCTCTTCATTTAGATATCGATGCCTGCTGTTCTTCAATGAAGTGCTGTTGCTGTCTCTAAGCAGTCCATTTGTATACAGTATATATGTATAGTATATGTGTGTGTGTGTGTGTGTGTGTGTGTGTGTGTGTGTGTGTGTGTGTGAGAGAGAGAGAGAGAGAGAGAGAGTGTAAGAGAAAGAAAGGGCCTTCTTATTTTCTACTGACCAAATCATTGACATATATTGAGCAATGCCTTTTTAAGCCTACTCATCTAAATCTATTCATGGCATATATTTTTTTTACTTAATTGCAGATAAAGATGTTCTGAGTGTTTATGGACCGGGGCCTACTGTTGTCCCACTAACCACTTCCCAGTCTTTTTGAGAGGAGGCCTTTTATTTAGGCAATACTAATGTTTATGACGAGCATTTCATATCAAATTATAGGTTAAGTGATTTCATTGTTCGCCCAGTGTCTTTCTCTGATATTAATACAGAAGTAATTATATTAATTGTTAGTGATAAGAATGCTTTATTTTTCAAATGTGAATGTTTGCAAATAAATAAACATTATTTTCGAATGGACTCATATTGCCATGTTTTTTATTTGTTATATGTTTTTCTTTGAATACATGTCATCAGTATGAGTGAAGTGATCTTTCCTGTTTGTGTCAATGGCATCGTGTTGTCTTCTTTATCACTGTTGTAGAGCATTTACATGCATGTTGTGATTTGAGAGATTAAGCATACTCAAATCAATGCATGCTCCCTCTTTTTCCCCCTTTTTCACACTTATACACACACACACTCTCTCTCACTCTCTCTGCAGCCTTTAAAATCACATTAACATACCAGTGATAACCAGTGTGTTGTACAGAACTTGTTCCATGAAATTATGTGTAAAGGCAAATGAAACAAGTCATTTTCAAATTGACTTAGTGATTTGCTGATGGCAGCATCCTGTAATGTGTTTCACAGTCAATTTCTTTTTTGTCTTTGTGTGTTGTCCAGTGGAAGAGAGAGCAGGAGTTTGACCTACAGTTGCTGGAGAGGGCGGTTCAAGGGGAGGAGGCACAGGGAGTTAGGAGCGTTCAGGGGGAGGAAACACCTCCCGAGCACAAAGAGAGGCCGCGCTCCCGCTCTGACGAATGGCTGACCCTGCGCTCCACGGCCACAACACCTCCTGCCCATGAGGTCGACCTGGAGCCACTAGACTATGACCTGGACCTTAACAAAGAGGTAAGTTGTATTTGTATCTGTGGAGGAATATAGCAAATTAGTTTATTGTCAATACATAAATATAATGAATGTACACTAATAGAAAAAACATAAAGCTCAACTGAGGACAAAAAAGGGCTGGGGTGCAATGTAACCACAGTCAAACAAGTAAAAAAGAAGATTTTGCACACCCAAATCACTAAGATTGCTCTTTTTATTCAACCTATTGAATTTATTATGTCGTCCTGCAAGATGGTATACATCAACTGTCAGCCTGCACTTGATCGCTGGTTATATTCCAAGGCATGTAGTGGATGGGTAAAAGACTTTGGCTGACCACGCAGTGAACACATTTCAGACACATATTCTGTTGGACATTAAGGGATTTCTTGTTTTGTTGGTGCAAAGATCGTGGTGTCATCATCATCCCCCCCCCCCCCCCCCCACCCCTTCTGTTCAGTGGTGTGAAAACAAACTGCCTGGTGCTTGTTCTGTGAGGCAGACAAATGAGGTGGAAGAAAACTGACAGACATCTGACATTATTTAAACTAACTTACAAATAATAATCTGTTGAACAAAATACTGTTGCAATGAAGAGCTTGCAGCCCGGACCTATTAGCTGCCGTGTGCAGCTACTATCTGGTCCGTATCGTTGGATCAAATAGTCTTCACAAGACAGTTGACAGTTTGCCAAAGAACAGTTTCACTCCTTGTTGTAGGGTTAGCTTAGTGAAGGTTGTTTTTATCTCTTTTACAGTAAACCCGTCTGCATATCCTTCATCTGTGAAAGTGGATAGATTATTTTTGGGATGACCTCATAGCAAGTATGATGATAATAAAGAAGCTTAGACCTTCACACAAGCTATATCTGTTTGCCAATAATTTACTATGTCCCAAAACATAGTATGTCAAATGCAGTATGCCATAAATACCAGGATGTCCTTCTGCATCCTTTCACATTTTGCATTGTGCAAGCCAGCATGCTGGTCTGGCTATTCTGACCCACAATCCTCGAGGTTCAAGGTGCAATGTTTTGATGAAGTAGTGTGTCCCAATTGAATGCATACTGCATGCAACAGTATGTACTTTGTAAGAGCAGCTGCAGTATGTACTAAAGGTAAAAAGTGCACATCTGTTTTGTGTAGCTTTCCAAGCCTCAGAAAGTATTGATCCCGGAGCGCTATGTGGATTCAGAGCCCGAGGAGCCTCTCAGTCCGCAGGAGGCGGAGGATCGGCATCGTAAGGTGGAGCGCATCAAGAGCATCTTGGCCAAGTCCAGGTAAATAAAATAAAATCATTTTGCATTCAATTGTTGCTTACAAACAGCTGATTCTGGAGGTTCAGGAAGGCCTTGTAGTGAGCCAAACAACCAGTTAAACCAAAATACTCAAGTTCAAGCCCTTTATTGGCAATCAATCAATTCACCCTACCGACATCTCGCTGCATTTCCACATTATTACCAATGCATCATGCTTTGTTAACTTTGTCTTTTATGTCTTTGTGCACGGGACAGTGTGCAAAACCTAGCACCCACAGTGACTGTGGACAAGCCAGATGTTGGGCTTGTGGCACTCGACTCAGCTCTGCAGGAGCAGGAGAGGATCATCACCATGTCCTATGCTCTCGCCTCGGAAGCTTCGCTCAAGAGCAAACTAGTCACAGGTTGGTCATTCGACAATTTTTGTTCTGTTGGTTTGAGCCTGAAGATCGTTGGAGGTTATACATCTTTGCTTTATAAAGATCGGGAAAATCATTATTCCGTAGAAACACTTAGAGAAATAATAAGCTCACCAGCGCTGACAGTTTCAGTGAAACTTCTCCATGCATCAAATTGACATCTTTTGGTTGAAGAAGGGATAAAGAGAGGGAAGCCGCCTTTCACGAATACTGGATTGATGGAGTGGAGATGAGAAGGGCGTAAGGTGCAGAGTCAAGCAATAAGGCCGTTCATTTCCTCATAACTGAACATCATTCCTTCTTAGGAGCTCAGATAGTCTCTAATTGCAATCCATGTAGAATCTTTTAGACAGGGGAGGAATAGCTTGATGAGGCCATTTTGTGTGCTGATCAATGACCCCGTCAAACGCGACTCTCCCTCTGCATACCATTGCTGCTGCTTTGAACGCAGCTCTGAACCTGCATAAAAGACGCTATGCTCACTTTTCATCTCTTTCATACTCTACAGCAGACAGGCAAGTTCATTTTCTGGAGCTGCAGCAGATTGTCAGCCTGTCTGCCTCACTCACACATATGCGCACACACACACACACACACACACGTCTGCACACATATATCTGTCACACACAGTAACACTCAAGCTGTCAGCGTGTGTGGAAGCTTAATATGCACAGTGAGGCAAAGTCAACAATTATAACATTATTTCCAGCATAGAGAAATGTCAGGGAGTATAACTGGTGGCATCTTGTCAGCAGAGACTGAATCAATGACTTTCTCTTCCTTTGGTGTTAAAGTAAGGTATGCTGGTGCACTTTCAAATCCCTGAATTAAAAGAAGAGGTTTTTATCACGGTATTATGCATGAGAGACTTCAATAATGCCGGCATGAAAGCAGGACTATGCAGCACTGCAATTATGTACAGTAAATATTAAAAAGGTGTATTTGATTGTTGAGTTTCATATTCGAAATTGTTATTTATTTTTTGGTATTTCTGTGATTACTTGTCAGGGATATTGAAAGGAATCTCTAATTTAGTGCTGGAAAAACTCTACAAAATAAACCTCTTCAACTGTTCATTGCTTTCTTGTGTTTTAAGCCGTTGAAATGTTCAAATGCTGAAAAAAATGTTGCACATCTCAAATGAGATGAGACCAAAATGTACCATCCTAATGACTTTTTTCTTACCAAAGACCTTCGAATGCTTATCTGTTAGGATTCTTAAGGAAAAACACATGTTACCTAAAATTGCGTTGATGTCAATAACTATTTTATAAGCTCGCTCCTAAAACCTGGTAAAAACAAAAGCCCATGAGTTTGAGATCTGAGGTGTTCGTGCATGTCCTCTGTATCTACACTCGTGGATTTGTTTTACATAACAGAGTAAGAGAGGAGCACCTCTGTTGAACTACTTTCGTAATCAATGATCAATTAAGTTGTTTTTTTCAAGTAACAGTGCCAAACTAATGAAAGGATTTAATGGTTTTCTTTGTGATATGATTATAATTAATATTTGGGGGGCTTTGTACAGTACGGGTCTGACAAACAAGACATTTTAAGACGACATCTAAGATATAATAGACATGTTCACTATTTTCTGACCTTTTATAGACAAAAGTTTTAGTTGATTTGAGAGAATTTGTGGCAGATTAATCTATGATGAAAATAATTGTTAGTTGCAACCCTAATCTTCATACATCCTGGTTTTGATGGTGTATTACATTTATACTGTTTAGTGACAGTTTTTTAAAATCTGCATTTTCGTGTTTTTGCAACTATGCATTTTTTTTCAAAGTATCTTTCATCACTGGATATGATTAAGAGTTGGTTAATTATGTGAAAATATATCCTGTAAGACAATAGAAATTTGTCAGCTGTCAGATATTTGTCGTTATACTGACTGTAACTATTATTTTCGATAATTTATCAATTCATTTCTTTGATTAATGGAATTCATTCCCCGGCGACCAAGGTGACATCTTTAAATTGCTCTTTTTGTTCAAACATAAGTCCCAAAACATTTTTACAGGGATTTATAAGACAGAGAAAAGCAGCAAAACTTAACACTGGTGTTTGGGGTTTTTTGCTTTATCTTTGACTGCAATTATGAACCAATCAAAATTGTTGCTGATTAATTTTCTGTCTATCAACTAATCAATTAATCGGCTAGCCCCTGTTAATGCTGTGATAGCTATCCCTTTAATGTATCATGCCATGGTGGACAATTCTGCAGATCATTAATCAGGACGGCTTAAGGGCATTATTGGATTTAAAGAGGGTGATGGAGTACCTTGATTTGTCAGGTATTCTTTTATTGGATAACAATACACATATTCCTCGTTACAGTTATAGCTATTTCAACTAAAGAGAAGTTGATAAACAGACTTTCCAGGAAAACAGTATCATTACACCATATACCGTGGTATTCGATTTTATTCATGCCGCCCACCCTCAGTGTCATCAGTACGCAGAAGACAGGAAGTTGTGTCCTTTCAGAAAAAAACAACAACACTGTGTGGTTCTCAACCAGTTCCAGCTTTCGTTGTGCCTTAAAACTTTCCCAGAACCGGCCCTTTGACTAACAAACCAATGTTATTTTCTCTCTCTCTGTTTTCCTTCTGTCCTCTCCTCTGTAGTTCCACCACAGGCTAACATCCCTCCACCTCCTCCCCCACCCCCTCCTCCACCTCCTCCTCTTCCTCCCGTTTCTCCTCTTCCTCCCGCTTCTCCTCTTCCTACCGCTTCTCCTCTTCCTCCCGCTTCTCCTCTTCCTCCCGTTTCTCTGGCACCTCCCTCTCCTCTAAGCAATGGAATTCACTACACGTTTGTCTAATCCGAGAAATAAAGTAAGGCCATAACTGCATGCGTTACGGTGCTAATGTTTTCGAGGCCTCCCTAATTCCCTCTGACACAGAGCTCCTGTGTGCTTTGCACCTCACTGCATGCTCACTGCTCTGTTGTGATTGTAGGAAACACATCTTGTCTAGGTTAGGGAAGCCCTGCCTCTGCTCCCATTATAATCAAAACAAACATCTGCAGGCAGTCTGCTCATCCCACTGTGATAATTGTGTGTAAATTGTTTTTCTTTTTTTTCTTTTTGTACCACTGCCAAAATATTTATGACTGGTTGAGGAAAGAAAGGGCTCAAAGGAATATGACTGTTTGTAGCATTGTGTATAATTAACAAAAGAGACACCTTTTGATTTAGCACCTTGACAGTTCAGTAGTCGGCACAGCTGCATTCACAGCACCAATTAGCTCCCCATCTGTAGTCTGGCAGCGGTAAGTCAGAAATAAACCCAGCAGATATCATCGTTGTTACTGTTAATGCAGAAAGGAGGGCTGTGTCATTTTACTGCCTTATTAAAAGCCAATAATGACACATATTTGGTTACTAATGTAGTTTCTGAAGTTTTTGTGATATACAGTATATATTAGGAAATACATTTCTGGATGGAGTTTAGCAAATGTGCAGCACATGGGCACACATACATAAATATCAGCACATGGACACACATACAGTAACAAAGTGTCCATCTAGCTGCATTTGACCTTTGACCCTTTAGTATGATGCAGCGTTCTTGTCAGAAGAAGTGAAAGCATGAAATGACTCGTTGTCAGCCAGGCATGACTTGAATCTTCATCCCTTGAGAAATTGCGTGACTGCATGCGTTACTGTGTGTTGTTGATTTTTCTGAACCTTTTTTACTTTAGCTCTTTCCTTCCATGTTCAGGTGGGCTGTGACGTGTAGCTGGTTTATAAAAGTGTGTCTGCCACAGTTTTGTGTCCATCAGAATGATATAAAGGATTTACTATTTGGACTTATATTAACAGAAGGACTCGGTGGTTATCAAGGTACTCTATTGTTAACACTTGTAGTGTGTCTGCATATCTGTTCAGCAACAAGTAGCAGCAACCTTCACAGATGTGCTTTACATTGATACACTGTAAAAACTTGTTGTTTTAACAGAGAATTTGCAGAGGAAGAGTATGAGAAGATTTATTTTGTGTGCGCAATGAATGCATCAGTACATCATGTAGAAAGTATGTTTTACTTACTCTTGTATTCATTCATTCTTTGGCTTTTTCATCTGTGTGACAGCTGTTTATTGCATTTTGTGTGATAATGATTGTTCTTCACTCTGCCGGCTTCAGTTTATTGTGGAGAATCAAACGTTTGCTTGACTATTATACTCTCTACTATATTACAAGGAAAAAAATATAGTTTTGGTTGTGGTGCATGGACAGCAACAATGTCTTAAAAGGCATGCCTTTATTTGTGACTCCAAAAGATAAATGAAAGTAAAGTAAATTGGAAAGATTCTGCTGTTGTGCTTATCATGTATTTCCTGATATGTACTGTTGTTGTCTTATGTTGTCTTTCTCTTTTATCACTTCTCAGCTCAAGCAATTTTTGGACACTGAGGTGCTATTCCACAATGACAACAAGCATTTTGGGAGAAAAGAGGATTTTTGGACATTTACGTCTTTCTATACAACAGTACAAGAACTGTACTAAACATTTGACATACCTGCTGAGGCTCACGCACCGTTGACTCCTTCAAGTGTTTCCAGTTGCTGAAAGCAACAAGAAAATGCAAGACTTTGCAACGGGACCTGCTGTCCTAACTAACCATGGAAGCGCCTAACAAATGTTAATCTCATAATAATATTTTCTACATGTTATTGCACTTTGAATTGTACACTGTATCACGTTTTCAAGGTATCACTGAATGGCTATTACTCGCAGTGTGATTGCAACTGGGAACTTGTTTTTGTTTTTGTCAGGTACAGAATGTTAAGAACCAGAGGTAATAAATGTGTCATGATGGTAGTATTTTTATCAAAACTCAAGATAATATTCTTACACCAAACCACTTGAAATATCATATGTATGTACCTGTAGCACTGCCAGTCTCCTTTTAGCTTGCCAAAATGAATTTTATTTTTGCTTACATCAGGATGGAAATAACCTTTAACATATTTTCTGTGTGACTGGGGAAGGTTGCACAATGGAAATTTATTTTAAAAAAGTGAATATTAAAGATATTAACACAATACAATTTTCTTCGCATATGGATTTTTAAAAAATATTTTATTTAATTGTTATTGGAATGAGTTGCAAATTCTCATCTCTTCGATGACAATATCTCATCAGCCACAAGAATATAATGATACGATGTTTAAAGGGAAATTCTATAATATATGACCTTCTGTTAATGACAGCTTACACTGCCTTGTAATTGGCATGTTTGAGAAATTAGTTAGATTTAGAAAAGCAGCTGCTACTTAAATGATTAACTTTCAACCTAAACTAGCCTTTGTTCCTTTTTATATTCCTCTGATGCGTTTATTGACCGCATCTTTATTCTAATCATGTACAAAGGAAAAGTACAAAATGTGTACTCATCGTAGCTCCGAGATTCTCTTTGAACCTCCACATTGATTGCCTTGACCTATTAAACTTCATTCTATTATTTGAAAAGGGAACCAAACTATGGCATGCTCAAAGGAGGTGAACCTTCAATACAAAAAAAAGGCTTCTTGAAATGTTTCTTAAGTTCAAAGCTTTTTCCATCTCGAAAGGGCATTTTTAATTTGGTGTATTTTCAACCAAGAAGTTGGATACTAATAACTCTGGATTCTGAAGTACAGAATTCATATCTTTAAATCATGAACTATGTCTCCATTGCAATTGTAAAAGAAACCTCTGAGAGATGCATGTATTGACCTTCTGATTCAAAAAGAAAAGAATATAGAGGAAATGTTTTTCAACAGAAAGTGCGACGGTGCGTCTGCGGTTTTCAACACAAATATTTATCGTGTTACATTTATCATGAATTCGCCCC